AATCAAACAGAATGATTATATAAGAATCGAAGAAAGAAATTAAATATTTTAAAATTTACCATATTTGTAAAAAAATGCAGTAATAAAATTTTTATTTTTTTGTTTATATTTTCTCTCTTGATTTTTTCAATCGTAGCAGTGGACAAAGTATAAAATATTTATAAAAATTTCTGTTTTTGATTAGCAATTTTTTGTTAGAGAAGTATCAATTCCTTCGTAACCAAAAGCTATAACTATTTACCAAGTTATTTCCATGATATACAAGACTCTGTTAGAAATTTTCGAAACGAGACGATATTATTTTCATAATATAAATGATAGAACGATAGAGCGAATCTTGATATAAATTTTCTAAAGCAAGATGTTCACGTCTTTGGAATTGTTCATTTTTCATTATTATATTCCCCTGTACAACGTATCTTTACGTTGTTTGATAACATTTCTCGAGCAATTTAGATATAAAAAAGAGCGTAAACGTTGTTGAATGCTCGCGTGCTGATACGATATTAAATCTTCGAAGAAAAATTCTTTTTTGAGCATGCATGCTCTATTATAGATCCTGTCACGATGCATGCGTTTGAAATGATGCGTGAAAAGAGTCATCGATCATCGTCTAAAAGTCGTGGTTGATCGGCAAAGTTAAGCCGCGAATAAATATCTTTTTGATCAATGGTGAAGGAGAAAATTTAATTTAAAAAAGGAAAATAAGTAAAAAGAAATATAAGTTATGAGAATTATAAAATTTACAAGATATTATTCCAAAAATTTTTTGAGTTTTTATTTATTTTTGAATTCGTCTTCTGATCTTTGAAAAATTTAATTCTTTAAATTGTACTAAAAATTTTGAATAAATCAAAAAAGAATCATGAAATCGGAATTTGCAAATATATAAAACGAATTTATAATAAAAAAAGAATTTCTGAGACAAGCTAACAATTAAATAATCCACGTTCAAATACTTTTTCCGTCTTTTCTATAAATACACATATATTTATAATAATTTTTAAACTTGGAGAACAATTTTTAAAACAGACAAATTTAAAATATCTTTCTAACACGAATAACTCTTTATATGCCAAGAATAATTGATCGAAGGAGACGAACTCGTGATATGACGATATTAAAAGTTATTTCGATAATTATTTAACAAATCAAAACGGAATCAAAATTTTTAAACGTCCAAAAAATCTTTAAAAAGAAACCAACGATTAAACTTTCAAATACCACAACTTCTAAATCTAGAAACAAATTTTTAAGACAGACTTTCGTCCAACTTTCCAACTCTGAAATAATCCTCTATACACAACAAGAGAATAATTGATCGAAGGATGGATACACTTACGGCAATTCTTAAGATTCATGCTCCCCCTCCCTCCGGGGGGGCATGGCGAGGCCAACGATTTGGCAGCCTCGAAACGACCTCAGGCTCGAAGTAAAAGGATGACCCAATATATGGGGGAAGAAACTATTCGTAGAGGAGGTTGCAACTTGGAAATGTGAGAAATGCGAGAGGACAGCCCGATGGAAAGCTGGGATGAAGTACGGAAGGAAGGAGAAGGTCGCTGAACGGATTGAACTGGAGGTCGTGAAAGGATGGCGGCTCCTATTACCGAACTTTTAAAGTGTCTTCGAGCAATATTGTCTCCGCGATGCAAGATGGAACGTCGCCATCCCACTTTCTTTCTCCACGAGCGCAATGGTTTCGCTCGTGTTCACCGCCATCGGCATTGCATCCGCGTACACCGCGCTTGATCCTCTTCCTCCGGCCAATGTTTCACGCCTCTTTTGTCTTCTCGACGCTCGTTTCCCTGCCTACCCTATTTCCATGCCAAATGGATCGAATTATTTCGGTGCCGTGGCCTGCTTTTAATAATATTGCGTGCAAAGTATAAAGGATTTTGAGGTTAGGCTTCACAGTTTCATTGCTTTCTCGTTAATCCTTTCTTGCGATTGTAGGATTGCCGATTTGGCGTCATAAATTTGATTGATGTTTGTTAAGAATTAACAATGAACATTAACATGAATATTTAATTGATGGGTTATTTGATAATCTGCGACTTGAAGTTTTGTTTGAATTTAACGTAGAGAATAAAATCTTCCGTAATTTTTTTAATATAAATTTTATAAAATTCAATTTCTAAACAACCGATCTTCTTGTTATACGTCTAGTAATTTATTATAGAGAATAATTAATTTGACCAATGCGAAATTAGATTTATATATATTCGTTCGATTTCTTCGAATAATTTATCTATCACATCATCTCATCTTTCTCAAAATTATTTGTAATTATTGTCTGAATTATAAAACAGCAGTTCTCCCATGCGTTCCATAAAACAACCGAAAATAAAGAGAGATAAAACCAAAAGGAAAATTAAAAAAAATCCTGGCCAAATTGAATGATCATCCAGAAATCTAATCTCCACCGTTTTCACTCGTTTTCACACCAAGCATCAGTTCAATGCTTCAACCCGATCATCGAATTTAAAACCGTTTCAGAAGGCAGGACAGGAAAGGATGTTCGCAAAGTGGCAGTGAGTTATCGCTTCAGAGAAGCAACCGTCGGCGAGGTTTTGTCCCATGAGAATCTGAGATGCGCACAACACGTATCGCGCGCGTGTGTGTGTATACACGCGCTATGGATTCGTGTGCGTAGGGGGATGTAGACGAAATGGGGATCAAGATCCCCATCCTGAGCACGTACACGCATCCGCCTATGGTATTTGCTCGCTGTCCATTCTGCGGCTTGACATGTACATGCACTTCTGGATGCGACGAGGAAGAGAACTTGCTTCCAAAAAAACTGCTGGCAAACGCGGTCCCACGGACAACGCGAGAAAGCTTCTTCCGTAAATGCGATGAAAGATCAGATCAGACTTGCTTCTTCCTCCTCCTCCTCTTCCTCTTCCTCCTCCTCCTCTTCCTCTTCCTCCTCCTCCTCTTCCTCTTCCTCCTCCTCCTCTTCTTCTTCTTCTTCCTAGGTCTTTTCTCGCGAAACTTCGACGCGAATTGTCGACGCTCGTTCGTTGAATTTTTGGTAATTTTCGGAATATAGAAAGTTGGGTGATAGGTGGACTACGTATGCAAAATTTAAATTTTTATGAATGTAAGGGAAGGAAAAGGGAAATGAAAATGTATCTCGCCTTTTGAATATGTACTTCGGTTTGGATATTTTTGCTTTTGCTTGCGTGTCGTGTGTCGAGTTTTAGGGTTTTTTTGTATATTCAAGTTTTCCACTCGTAGTTGGATGACAAGATAGGATTAAACGGGAACGAATGTAATCAGAATTTTTAAGCATAAATTTGAGCAATGTTTTTTGGTTTTATTTAATTTTAACTTTAATCATACATGTGGAATTACTGCCACAAAAATTATCTTTCATTTATGTTAATTATTTTTTAATAAGATCGAATTTAAAGAAAATTTAGAGAATGTATTTTTATCTATAATTAATTTGATGTTACGATAATTATTCTCTGATTTTACTAATCTTATGATTACAAATGGAAAATTATACTTCCACTGACTTTTAATTTCAAAATATTCTGATGTTTTTTCAAGGATAATACGTATCATTGATAGAAAATTCTCGTTAATAACAGAGATCTGATTACATTCGTAGTGGAATGGTTGCCTCTTTAAATTTTATTTAAATCATTTTTATTTTCCAATTCGATATTGAATATAGTACTTTCTTTAACGATAAATAAATTTTTTACAAATCAAACCATACAATTTTACAAAAAATCATACATAACTAATTAAAAAATATATGTATATTAATCTACCATTCTTAAAATATTTCTAAATAATTTTCAAAATTACGAGTTTCCATTTTCAAACTGCGAGATAATGTTGTTTGCACATGTATATAGAATATGACAAGGAAATTAGGCTTACGGGAGATGAGCACTATTCCGTCTATTAGGATTACCTACTGTACGTATTATGTCATGGGTTTATGATACGTTAATCGGTATTGACGATCAAGAGGGTTAGAATCACGAGGGCAACAGAGACAACGAGAATTATTAGGTTTAGACGATTTTCAAACTGGTTTCAATCGCAAGTTGAATGGTTCATGAAATTGTAAATTTCAAATATTCTTCCGGATAACGTGAATATCTGTATTGTAAGCTTCGCCTTTAAGGTTCAAACAGACTCTCCTCGAGTATTCAGGCCACGAATCCATTCTATGTTCGATTGCAGCCTTGGAAATGTATTGTGCGATATAATGCTGTGGTTGAATGTTTTGGAAGACCTGTAAAGTGAATTGAAACTAAATAAATTTCAGTGATTTCATTTAAAGCAAACATAGGATTATTATTTTATTACAATTTTCTGTTGACGAAAGTTTGATTCATTGTGCGATCTCAGAATGAAATTTATATTACATTTGAGATTTAATATTAAATAAATAGTCAATATTAAATAGGAGATTGTTTGGGCTATGAGATACGGGGGCTACACGCACGGACGGGGTTTCCACGATGCATCCCAAAAATAACGATGCGTTTAGTTTGCAAACTCATCGTGGTAAAATTTTATATTATTACGTACTTTTTTAGTAAATATAATTATGATTATTTTCAAAGTTGAGAAACATTTAATATTCTTTTCGAAAATGGTATTTTACATTAATTTTTAAAATTATTATATTATTCTGATGTCATTAAATTGCTTTTATTTTTGAAAAAAAAAACAGAGAATTTTTTCATTAGTTTCTTTGCTTGAAAGAAATCATGAGAAATTCTAAAAACTGAAAAAAATAGAAAAAGTTACGATAACTCAATTTTCATGTTATATTTTTAGAAATTTTAAAACTTACCTTACGATACGTGTTTTTTTGCCGAGCAAAATAAGATTCGAGAAGTTCTTGGCAATAATCCCAACATCCTCCAGTAGACACCCTATCGAACCAATTATGAAACTGGATTCTCGCTGTTGGAAAGTATGAAATTGATCGAATTCTTACAAGGTGTCGTAAAGTTTTCCAACAAGGGGGAGCATTAACGTCGGGATTTAAACGATTGACAGACAATTTCCGGGCAGATAGCGACAATAAAAGAATCGTTAATCGATATTTGAGGCTTGGTAGAACGCGTGCTTCCCCTGGCTCGGATTTATATGGAGCATCTAGCTGAATTTCGGCCACTCGAAGTCGATCGAGAGATAACTCGAACCGTGATGGATTTACTGCGGCGTTGAAGAGCCAAACTTTTGGATTACATACGGCTTTGTGGGTTGCGCGAAGTTTATTTGTGTACCCTCCCCGCCAGCGTGAACTTCGAACAGAGAGATCTCCGGCAGTTCGTTGAACGACAGACACTTCGAATATTCGCCGATATGAATTTTCAAGCTTTTCGAACTGATTGACGCGATATTCGTCCGATTTTTCTCTGGATTCGTCTGGAAAATTTATATTGAATTAATATGGGAAATTAGGAAACATTATAAACGTTATAAATTGAAATGAAACGAGAAAGAAATTTGTGTCAGAGAAAAAATGTAATATGGAAGCATGGAAAATTACAAAATGTAATGTTATGATAATTATTACGATTTATTACATCGCATAAATGTCACAATTCTATACTATAACTCAAAAATTATGATTCTCGAGAAAAACAATTTTGAATAGTTTAAATAAGAAAGATAAAAAAACAAAACTTCGAATTGGAAATATGCAAAATTTAACAATTTTTACATAATGATATTTTCAAAACCGTAAGTTTTAAATTACATTATTTTTACACCAAGCAAAAATTTTATATTCGTTCTATGAGGCGATTAAAATTAAAAATTATTAAAATTACAACCGTATACGTAGAATGAAATATACAAGAAGAATTGTAACGTTAAATCAAAAGATGTAATGGAATGGACTAATCTTGAGCGTTAATTAGAAGTAATACAAAATACAAGAAAATCCTCGTGATAAAATTCCAATTAATGTTTCAAGCGGACGACGTAAAATCAAATCCAACAATTCGGCCATTAAACCCTGACAATTCGTAGCCATTAAATTCGGGCGTTAATTTGAAAATCAACGTAACTTTCCATTATTAAGTGGCATACTTATCCGTCCTTTACAACGTAATAACCTATTTTATACTCCTTTTATTACCTCTTTTACGTTCGTTCCCCACCCACCTAGCTACAGGGTACAAATTTACCGGCTATTCGAATTTCATCAGCAACACAACCTTATTCCTCAACACGCCCATTCTTAATTGCTTTCGGACAATTTAAATTGTGCCTCGAGACGCGGGGTGGGGAAAGAGGGAGAGGGAGGGAAGAGAGAATTTTTCCTCTCCGTCCCTTTTTCTGATCTCGCCACGGATAATGGAGTTTCACGTAAGAACGTTCTGTGAGCAGCAACGCTGATAAGGTGGCCGCTTTTAAACGTTTCGGACAATAGCCTCGCGTGCGACTTCGGACATTTCAACATGGCGGCGGAGTGAAACGCTCTCTACGTAATTAAACCGTGATCCTTTGTCTCGATAGAACGATTAATTTAACATGTCTGCCGCATTAAGGGAACACGGAGCTAGATAAACGCGATAAACCGGTGAGAATTACGGCTGATTCTTTATTTTTATTCGCCGCCGATAAATACTCTGCTTTTTTTTTTAAAAGTCGCGCCATTTTTCGTTTTCCTCGCGATTTAATATTAGTCGATTATGATTGAAACTCGTTAGATGCATTTATTATAATAAAAAGGTATATATATTTAGAGGAAAATGCTATATTGTTATTTTAATAAAATTGCTCGTTCTTTTACTTTTGAGGAACGTAATGTGCAATTTTTCTCCTTAAATTATTCAATTTGTATAAGTGACAAGCATGATCAGATAAAAATATATGAATATGAATTTTTAATTAACGTTTCTATATTGTATTTGCAATCCTTTTTTTGCTAAATACAATATTCGCAACGAATTTTCTTAATCTAAAACTCGTTTTGTAGATCTATATTACAAGTAATATAGATCAATCATTCATCAAACGTTCAAGCAATGGTAACGAGATGCTTGAAAAAGTGATGTAAGTCGGACATTAAGTAAGACAAGTAGTACAAAACATCGTTTTCCAATTTTCTCTAATTGTAATACAATTTATATTAATATACTCACTCAATTTACTACTTCTACTTTCGATCTCACGAATATACACGTATAAAGCATACTCAAATTCCAATTCAATATTCGAAAAATATACTTCCCCTCTTCGTCACGTCCCCTTCTCATTCACATTCACCTCTTCAGATTGATCCCTCGTAATCTTTCACCATCTAGAAATATGGGCAAAGAAAAACACCCGTATGTTAAAGGCACCCCTGGGATGTTGGGTATGTCCTTCTCTCTTTCTCTCTCTCTCTCTCTCTTCTGAGGAAAATTTTTCGTCTTGAACGGAAAATAAGGGTTTCTGTTTTCCGAGCAGTGATTCGAGGGTCTCGGTTTACCCGATCGGGGTTACGCAATCCGTATTTAGATGAAATCTCTAGATTTTGAGACGTTAAAGGGGTCGAGGAGGGCGGGGGAAAAAAGGGTGGCGCAAAGTTGCCGGCGTATTTTCCAATCCCTTATTGGCCGGGGCAATCTTGTCCCCGTGGTTATCGAGGATTTATCTGGCGGATGCTCGCGACCCATCGATTCCTTTTCCTTGCGGGGGTTAAATCGAGCGTCCCTCGCGGCTGCTGTCAAATCACCCTTCTCCCAATCCTGTGACCTTTATTTTATCGCAAAGCATTTTTCTCCTGGCACCGTCACGCGCCCTTGATGGAGAACAGATATTACGAAATTTTTATTCCTCGTTGCTTAATCGTCTCACGTTAAGGGCTTATCTAAGTTTGGATTTCATTGAAAATATTTAAAAATGGATGCATGAAGTAATAAATGTTATAAAATACTTTAAAAAAATATTATCAATGTGTGTATATTCGTGATGTGTGTAATTTAAAACGCGATTTAAATATTTATAACAAATGAATGTTGAATGTATATTCAAGTGATAATTGATTCGAATAAGTAATTGAATTTTCTTTCGAGTTATTTCATTATTTATCAATAGAAATTTATTTTTTGACGGGAAATAACGTTTCGAGCGAAAATGTTCAGGTATTCTTAAGAATTTCTTATTGGTCTGATTTATCTTCGTTTGAAATATTTTTCAGGGATAATGCGAATATTTCAAGTTACGGGAAAATTGAAGTATGGCTCGCAGCAATTTTATTTCTATTCAACGAGTAATCGCACTCGATCGAAGTGTTCGAAGTAAAATTTATTTCAATAATCGGAACGATTTCCATTAACTTTCGTGGCTTACAATTGATTTGAAAAATGCATTTTAAGTTTAGAACGGTGGTATTTTATTAAAAATTGTTTCGAGTAAAATTATTCATTTAATAATCGTTAAAAATATCTAACAAATATATATAGAACTTATTATTAGTATTATAAATATATTCAATTGTTATGAAATATAATTTATGCAATTGTTGTCCAATTATTTTTTATTTATACGTTTTTCAATTTGTTTAATTTTGAAACACTGAAATTAATAATAACGCGCAAATAAATTACAAGTTTATAAAATCGAATCAAATTTAAAATTATTAATTTAATAAAAATAAAATTGAAGCAATCATGTTAAACTTATAAAATATAACACTTAAATTTTAATAAAAGGAATTAATGATTGTTGTATTACCGATTCAATCAAAAGGGTAATTATTTCATTTATTAACGATTATTAAATTAATTACAACCCTTGATTAGAACTTGATTATATCTATTAATAATTAATTAATCATTTTTGATTATTTAATAATTAATAACCGTGATTAAAACGGCTTGATTTTGCATTAATTATAATTAATTATAATTATCAATCATTAATCTTTTTATGGAAAAATTTTACCAACTTAATTGCATTTTTTAGATTTTTATACATTTCAATTTTCCAATAATAAATAATAATAAATATTTTTTCATTATTTAATTAAATAATCAAAATTGATTCAACAATTATCCCATTGTATTATCAATTACATAAACATACAAACCTTCATTCAAATTCATTCGAAAAAATTCCTCCCCTTCAATTCTGATAAACAAATTTCTTTGAATCCAAGCATCGCTTGACAATCACTTACAAAGAAACAAAATCCCCGTCTTCCACCGTATCGTACGTTTCATAGACTCATCCAATATTTAGGCAAAATTTTTTTATCTTATTCTCATCCCCTTAAAAGAGATGTCCGAGTCGAAAACACACCTGAGGGTGTCGCGGCCACCAGTATCACGAATGAAAGTGGAACAGGTTGATATACTATCGCCTTCCATCATGATACAGTCCACACACAGGAGTGGAGGAGTTACGAGCCTTTGGGGGTTGATAATTCCATCCGTCGGCGCACAATGCTCAGACGACGGATACTGTGTTGGGTGAACGTGCTGGCCCGCAGGCCGCAACGCCCTTCGAGTAACCTGCATGAGTGAAATTGCCCCTGAAATTTATGTTCCTATTGGGGGATGATCGTTTCCCTTCGTCAGAACTCCTGCAGTTTGAAAGCTACTCTATACAACCACCCCCTGCCCGGCTGAATTCTGACTGACTGGCGATTTGATATATCGCGTGACGCGGATGGAACGTTTTCTTTTTCCCGCGAGCATGGATGAAAAACCTAATTTTCAGTTGCCGTTGAAATTTTCTCGCGAATGAATCGAGGCCTTCGAATATTGGAGGGGAAGATATGGGGTTGGGGAAATAGGAATGTTATGGAGAAATCTAATTTTTAAGCTATTCGCAGATGCCTCGAGTAGAAGATGAATATGTTTGAGTATTATGGAAAATATGGAGGTGGATTGGGAAAGCTCTAGTCGAGGGGGCGTTGAATTGAGAATCAAAGAAAATATGGAAATATTGGATTCATTTTATGTGTGTATTTATATTTTCCCCCTCTTTTTGTAACTTTAGGGATGTGGATTTAACTTTATTTAACTTATCTGCTTTATTAAATTGTATATATTCGTGTGTATTAAAAGTAAAGGAAATATTTCATATTCACTTCGAGAATATAAATTAACAGTGGATAAGGAGATCCATATAGTAGGTCCAAACTTATCTAATTTTCGTTATCTAATTAGTGTCGGTCCCTAACTAAGTTCCTTTAAGTTCAACGTAATTTAGTCCTCAGGATGATTGTGAGGGTTAATGTTATTATCGATAAAGATATATTTAATCCTTTTGTTATTATAATTGTTTTCTTTTGTTTAGATCAGAGATAATTCAAAGATTCTAGGGAATTTCTATTCTTCATCTAGGGAAGAAGCTAGATTTAACTTCATATTATAAAAGATTAAATATATCTTGCATTTTATATTATTGTTATTAGATAATTTAAA